CAGCACCGCTTTCGTACTCTGTGTACTGTTTTTATTTCATGAGTGATGTTTCGGACGCAAACATCATTAGTCGTAGAGCACGGTTGAAAACGCCCTCTAAAGCATTCAATTTTAGGTTCCTTCCAATGCACTGTCCCAGGATGCAGAAGAGAATACAACACAGCGGTCGGACTAAACCAACATCATATAAATGAGCATAGAAAGAGGACGTTCGACTGCTCGAAATGCACCAGTCAGTATACGTCCGAAGTACAGCTAAAGAAGCAAAAATGTAAGGCGACACAGCAGTCAAAATGATTTCTTCTGGTCTGAAACCTACTGAATGATATCGGAAATTCACAGCCAATCAAAAACGCAAGTGCAAATTATTTTCATCATCCGCGAAGTAGTAAGGCTGGATTGTGCTGCGCACAGAGAAATTTCCGCAGAATCAAAATTTTGAATCCCTCAATTCGTTTGAAGCATCTTAATTTTTTGTACGTTCCCACAAATAGGAAAAATTCATTCATGAGAAGGCTCTTTCGTTTCTACTGAATATGCGTGTACTTGTATGTGTTTGTTTTGGTATGTAGGTTCTGCGCATAGAGTGCGAGAATTTTAGAACGTAATTAGTAGTTTATCGGGAAAAAACGCGTAATTACTTATCTATTGTTACTCATTTATTTACTAAATAGAAAAATCGGGCAGTAGTGTAATGAATAAATGTGTAAAAATGCGACTGTTACACGAAAACAGCAGTATTTCACGCAGTACTGAGAACCAAGAATACCAGGGTCGACTGGATAAATAGTCTGGGTATTTCTTGTTAATGATGTGACTGGAATGCTCCCAAACATCGAGCGCAGCTGTGTCAGGCTTTCCAGTCCTAAGCTGTGCGCTTCCGAATGATGTACTCAGATCCGTGAATTTTTTCGCATAGTTATGCAAAAACAAAAGGGCATTTTGTCAAGAGCTTGTTTGTGTGTGCACATTCATCACTCACTTTCAACTCGGCAAACCAGAGAAGCTTGGAAGCCGTAATTTTCGGACTGTATTCCCATTCTAAATGTGCGACTTCCTCGTTTCAAAATTTTTGTTCACCTATGTCTAAGTCTCATGCACGGACGCCTGAAAGAAAACGTAAAAAAGTTTTAGCAGGAGTTTCTCCAGCCACCGCCTTAAACCAAGAATGGTTTGTTCGGGCCAAAAATTGACAGTATCACCACGCCAGCAGCAAGCAGCGGATAAGGCGGGACAGAATCGGTATTTCGGAGGTTTGAAGTGAAGGAAAAAAGCGGACACGGGGAAATAAAATCGATACGAGCAGCAGCAGCCGTGGGCGGCAGCAGCAAATTCATTTAGTAAATATATAATTATTAACTAAAATTAAAAAATATA